CTTCTTAATTTTAATTCTATACACACTCTACCTACTTTCGAAAACGTACATAAAGTATTGAAGGACATATGGTACTAGGCTTTTCTTAGCAGAAATTACATCTTTTAGATTTTTTCCAAATATAATTTATTGAGTTTTAGAGGACATTAAAAAAAACTTAGAAATCTTTCTGGCCTAATCATTGATATAAACTAGGTAGTTTAACACGATGTTTTGGAACAAGCATGGACACACGTATACAAGACTAGAGCAAATGAATGAAACGTTCGTCTTTGTCAACTGATAACCACGTTAATCTCGGTCCACGTTAGCTTGATGACAGCATTAACCTTGGACGAGATAATGAAAATAATGAATAAGTGTATTTGAGTTCTTACCGGCGGAGCTGGCCTGAAGACCGCAGGTATCCCAGACTTTGGAGGTTTTAAAAAGCTATGCTCTCGTGCGGTATAATTTTGAGGTCGTAAAAGATGCTACCACGAAGGAACTATTCAACCGGCTATCAGGTGAGTTCTGGCTTGCCAGAACATTTTTTCCGCTTTAAGCGATGGCGAAACTTTTGAATAATTCCTGCAAGGTAAGTGGGTTCTAGAGGACGAATTAGGCCTGAAAATGGGGTTTCATGTTCTTCTAGGCAATATAAGGAACACAGCGCGAATGGCCTGGTTTGGGCTCGAATTCGTAGGAAGAGCTCAGCTGGCCCGATATTACGCCCCGCAGAAAAATCTAAGGCATATCTTGGGCGCGCTCAGTATGCAGCTGACGTTTCCTTGTTGTTAGTTTAGAAAAAAAAAAAGATGTCCTGACACAGTACTCCAGTGTAGCATGGACTCAAGGTGGATGCTAGGCGAAATTAAGATTTGTACCCGCTATTCAGTTCCGTGACAGAGCTGTATAAAACTGCAAACCCGCCGCGACCCTCGCTAACGATGCCACACTCACTGCATCGATCAAGGCTCAACAACACAAAGCTCCAAAGAGACTAAACAATGAAGGTCTCCAGTCCGGGAAAAAAGCGAACCTTGATAAAGGCCTGCTTTTCCCGGCCCAAAGTATTGCTTTTTCAACCGGTCTTCAGAGCCACCCGAGTGTTTTAGCCCGTTAGGCAATTAAAAGCCCGGTATTTTATAGAGAAGGACGTTTGGGCTAGAGTAAAGAATGCACTCGGTAGTATTACGCCGACGCTTGCTAGCAAGCGAAGGGCGCAAAGAAAGCCAGGCCACTCCAAACACCCGTGGATCTTCAGGCCAGTTTTGTTAGGCTTAATACATGTCCCATATCAATATATGGGTCACACAAGCTTAGCGCAAGGTTTCGTCGGCAATGAGGTGTGAAACAATGCGTTTCGTGCGCCTGTCTGTTTGACCATGTCCGTCTTAGGTAAGCTGGATAAATAATACATAATGCTAAAACCCAGTCGGTATTTGTTCATATATTTTTATGCTTGATCGAAGTTAAAATTTACTATTAATTTGAAGTAAGAAAAATGAATTAAAACGAAAAAGGGTGTGTTTTGGGTTTCAGGTGCCAAAAAAAAAGGAAACAGAAGTCCATTATAGTATATTTAATGTGGCAACTATTTGCGCTTATTCGCCGCGGAACTTATTTCTATAGTGAATTCATTCAACCCTAAGTTGTGATCCTTAAATAAGTTATGTATGCTCAATTTGCTGCGTGTGTCCTTTTTACGCAAAACTCTTACCCTTAGAGTAGACCTCATGCCCACTTCTCGGTTTGGCTATCATAAGTCCATTAAAATCTTGAAACTAATGATTTTGAAAGCCAAGAGCATATTTAAAACGCTTGTATTGATTATGAGAAAAATTCAGAAAAATGAAAAAAATTCAAAAAAAACATCGACTATTGAGATATCTATTTGTTTATTTATATATATTATACACACAATTTCCACACATTAAAACAGTGTCGTTCGGAGCAATGATGTCTTTATTGCTCGATTCTAAGGAAAAGCTAATAAATATGGTGGTGAGAGTATTCGATGCGTTTTTTATCAATTAGTCGCCTATAGCGAACATGGGGGTATAATAAGTGTGGGGTAAGATATATATCATTGCTCGTTACCATGAAAGTATGGGGTTTGTCAGCACGTTGCAAAACTAAGTCTCTATATTTACTCGGACGTGTAGTATAGTGTATGTCGATCTAGCTAAAAAATAAGCATGAGCAAATAAATATAAAACATCAATGAAACGCAGCTTCTATTCATGGGTCTCTGTTTATTGGTTTCGGGTATTCCCACTGCACCCATTTATTATCATATTATTTGAGCTGACTTAAAAAGGATATCGGATAATACGTTTGTCCTTAGCTTGACAATTCATGTAAATACGAAGCCGAAGGTCGCTCGCTTTGGCTCTACAATGCGGTATACACCCGCTCCGAGAACCAAAAGTCAAGTATATCTTTAATGCAGGAAATATGAAACATACACTTACCGCATGGTTGGACTTGGTCGGTAATTCCTCCAAGCCAAATAACGATCTATAAAATTTGTACATTTTAAATTTGTTGCGTTCCTGACTTTAGGCTTTTGGTACTTTATTGATGTGTGCCTTATTATTATTATTGATGTAACCTGTTCCAGTTATTTGCTATAATATACGTTCAAATAAGATATGGGAACGTATAACATTAAGTCACGTGTTTCGATAGCTTTAATTACCGCCTTCAAATTCCGCGGCTTCAAATCTAGCGTCATATTACGGAGAATAATTCTGAAAAAGCCTTCAGGCTACTCCCTCATGACGACAACCACAAAGTGCACAACAAGCGCTGACATTGTTAAGCTGGCAGGTGGATTCATTGCTGTTAACAATCGGCTTGTTCGTCTGACTCACTTTTTTCGCGCACGTTTTCTGGCCCGACTTCCAGGGGGCGCAGCGTTCGCCTCTTTCACCGAGGGACTATTCCTGTCTGTGTGGGTTTTGCCCTCTCTCTTATACGCTTGTGTGCCTTGGCGGTACCGGCGACGATCGTGGTAGAGGCCCTACGCTTCGGTGGCTAGGTAGAGAACTTTGCCCAGCAGCAGGAGCGCCGCTTGTGGCCTGTGGCGGTACACTGTGCGTCGCGATCTATGTTTGGCTGTTCGTTGATGTCTGGTTGTGTGTATTTCGCCTTTGTGTAAGGGCTACAGTAGTGGTCGCTGCTATCAGCGCTACCCACCAGCCGCGAGTAAAAAGCAGCGAGTCGAACAGAGCGGTTCGGTTGGGCGAAGGGGCACCGTCGCGTCCGTGAAAGGCGCCCCACGTCACAACGTGCTCGCCCACACTGTTGTTGCGGCTTCTGCAGGCAGCTCCTCTTTTTAACAGCGACAAAAACTCGTGCCATCGATATAGCAGTTTAATAGTGTTTGTGTCAATGTATGAAAGGCTGATAACTTAGACAACCTCGGCAAACGAGGAGTTTACTTTGTAATTCTGGAGAGTTCGCTAACAGACGGCTAATCTCTATTTTACCAGTGGCAGCAATAGCCGATAGGCTGAGGCGATTCATTCAATCAGTATCGCGCCCGCAGTGATCCCGCTTGCATGTCACCATCAGTCAGTCTGAGAGTAACATCCAACAGTGAATACGCCTTCGTTTAGAAGCTACTTTGTTCTGCTTAAAGCGTCGTCTGTTCGTCAATTGAAGCCGCTCTTCTCTGGCCCGTATTGACTCCGTCTACCGTAATATTGCTCACCTTGGCTGCTTAGTCGATGTTGTTTCGTAGCAGGTAACGAGTAGGAACAGGTGTATCACACGGTACTGCAGGACAAAAAAGAAAGAAAGAAAAAAAAGCAACGTTGTGTGTGTTGATCATGAACAGCTACAGAGGAAAATTTGCTACCGACACCAAACGTTATTTTCTGTCTGCTTGATTAGACCGCACGAAGACAGCGTTGACCTGCCTTTCTACACTATGAAATGCTTCGTAGGCTGAAAATTTCTTGCTATCAGGATTCTACACAAATGGCGCAGGACTTTTATGCACACAGCAACAGTTCTATCATTTGGATTAAGTTTTTACGGAAAAATGCAAGCTACTCCTACCCGTCAGTGATGAATCAGAGGTTGTTTTCTTGTTGAGTTCATGTAACCGATACGATTGTTGGGTAAATGTTTTGATTTTTTGTATGGCGAAAGCCTACAGTTGCGCGGTAGGACTCTTCCATGCGCAGTCGAATAACTCGAAACTCAATCATCAGTGCTTTCTCGTGACGAGCAATTCAAGTTAATGAATAAATCTATAACAGTGAAATTTTCTGTGGTGGAACAATCTTAATTGAATTCATCTTTGGACTACTCGTGTTCCTTGCATTTGGATACTTCGCAGATAACTAACATAAGCGACGGATGGGACGATGCGCAAATGAAATGTAAGTACCATCCGGTCGAGACCATAAGGACCTCGTCAAACCTCGTTCGATTCTCTTGAGGGTACGTTTGACCAAGTTCTCTCTGGCAGCTTAACACGTAATGTCAGAGAATTAGGTACTACTGAACTGCGCAATACAATGATTTGTCTCGTGTAACGATATTAATTTAATTCTGCACTGGGAATATTTTGAGCAGTTGCCTATGAGGGCCGTGCCTTGTGGCAAGTAGGCTTTAAGCAAGCATATATATCTAAGCTGGGTTCTGGAGGCAGTTAGGACTTACGTTCATCTATTGCATATACGTTTGCGTGTTGGACGTTGCTGTATCACCCGTCACCTTCTCACGCCCGTCTCTTCTAATCAACATCGAAAATAATAGAGATATTATCGATTTACCTTTGAAGCTAACGTCGATCCTTTAGATAAAGCTTGGCTTTACATACCCACACAGATAGATAGATAGATAGATAGAGTTGAAACACTGGCTCTCGCCAAGCCTGTTTAGTAGTCATTAACTCTCCTCTTCCATATTCGTACCCATGCATTTGAATTGTTACGTTGACGAAACACGAATATGTGTAAGGGTACGAAAGTTTGATGGTCGCACAAAACCTGGGACGGTTCGGCTTTTTCGCAGCATCTTTTCTTTGCATTGATGAATCAAGATTCAGTACTCTCTGTCGTTTGAAACAGTACCGCTATGCTACAGTTCAAAAAAACTTCACTCTGACCGGAAACAGAAAAAATATAGACCCGACACTGGGCCATAGGGAGATCAGTCATTATTACTATTATCTACACGAACGAATGCGCGGCATCGTAATCAACACTACCTAGCAACCTTTGTCCTAAGTGAATTGTTAGGCTCATGATCCGTGATAGTATGAGCTAGGCTTTGGTCGATTCTAGTTTGTGTCACACGTTTGATTTCTCCTACGCCATTGCACATTATTTACAATGAACTCTAACGTAATTCCGACTAGAGCGTACTGAGTACGTACGGGTGGGTAACACTTTCAGCTGTGCGCCATGCAACAAGCAATTTGTCAAAAGATAGCATTCCGCTTACATTGTGCTAGCTCTCAACATGAGATACGCGGTGAGTCACATCTGACGCGGCAGCTTGATTGGTAACAATGCGCTTTTACTAAAATATTGTGTTATTCTAACGTGTGTGTATATATATATATACTTGTTTGCAGTCCATCTGAGAATAGGTGGGCCAACGCTTTTGGTAGTTCCGACGTTAGCATAGCCTTCAGCAATCAGCCGTTTCGGTGAGGCTTTGAATTGACATTCAGCGTCGTTAAAAACATGTAACAATTGATCCTAGTGCTTTGCTATTGACACCTCCTTTGGCTTAACCGTCGCCATCGCTGCTACTAAATATAACACTTGTTGCAGCATGTGAAGCCTACAGTGACAGTTTCGCGCCTCGCTCAAGTCCACCTGCCCCTAAGATCGACAAGGTACAATAACGTTTGTCATCGACAACACGCATTACTTGATCCGATATCTAAAACTATAGGTACATATAGTCTGAAAAACGCCAATATAATCTAAGAAACGTTGCCACTATTTACGAAATTCATCAAAAAGAGTAAATACACGGACATACCCGAACCTTAGTGTAAAATTAACATTGACTCTATAATACCTGTCTACTGGTCCATATTAATCTAAAACACTGCTGACGTAGTTAGCAAGGATCATTCATTGGTCCGTACAGAAAGGAGAATAGCTTCCTTAACAGTATTGCATAAGTGGGACGAGATCTGTCGTCCTAACTCTACCTCAACAACTTCAATGGACAGATAAGTGGACATGCAACATATCCACATCGGTCTGGCGTTTTTGCAAAACGTAAGAAATTAATAAAAATTAACTGAGTCAGGTAACTTTACATAAAAGCTACCTACAGAGGTGACTATGCCAATACCGTAATTGAACTTAAACACGAAATAGTTTGAAGTGTCACTTGATTAAATAGAGTCACGGTGTGGCGTCTTGCACAACAAACTTATTAATCGGTCAAAAGTCGTTCTGCCGTTGGGGTGAAACATTATTTTTCATCAGCCAATCCTCAATATAATTGTACTTAATTGAGTACCAGCAATAATCAACTGGGAGCTGTCTACTGTTTTCTACAGTGAATACTTTCGTCTATCTAGTAGCACGACAAAGGAACTTCTACACGGAGTTCCTTCAACTCTGTCCGTTGCTACACCATCTGCCGTCGACCTTTTTTTTTGTTGTTACAACAATAGCTGACTGCCATTCTATCTAGTTGAACTGACAACACCTACTATCATTTCTGTTCTATACATAACGCATGAAGTTAATCCCTCGAGCTTTAAAGACCAGACTCCTGTAAATGATATCATGCTGAATTGTTCTCTGTTCTAACTAACTGGACCATATATTGTTCAGAAAGGAGTTCAGAGGAAGCTCGATTATTGGACAGAGAATATGTGTTCTACATGATGACGCATTAAAGACTATTGGAACACATAACAATGTTTTATTTTTTGGAACAGCGTTACAATGACGGATTCGAAATGAGCGTAGGAGTGCCAACAGACGGAGTTCATCTTGTCATTTACAGTATCGGCCCACGTATGTGGGCGTCAAACAAATAACTCGGAAGTAACAAAATGCAACACAGCCAATAGATCGTAGCCATTACCGTGTCCAAGCTTTTTCGATCGTGCAGGGTCGTGTACTTTTAGAAGATGTCCTTTAGGTTTATTGGCATTGACTAGTACCCATTTAGCATTAATGAGTTGGCATTTTTTTTTATCTAAATGTTTATTAGAATTGGGCTACGTACGAATTGAGCATTAGCTTTTAAGACGGCTGTCGCGAGAAGGTTCTCATTTAAAGATTCACGTATTGCTTGGGTATATACTGTCTCCAGTCCGATACTGGTTCCTCATCTACTTTCCGTCGAAGTACGGTATATGCCAATTCAAAATTGATATATATATAATCAATTAAGCCAGGTAGTCAAAGAAGGTAGAAAAGAGACGTCGTTATTTAGTCTGCATCTAATATCTGATAAATATCGACACAATGACAAGTCAGCCAACCGACTTCAATGTTTAAAATCAGACACGAGAGTTGTTGGATCAGTCGGCATCTTTGTACGCTGTTTGTGAGCCTGCAAGAGGTATTCAGAATGCCCTTGCCAGATGACTGCAGTGATGAATGCTGGGAATCATTCTCAGTGCGGATGTACATCAACATATATGCCCTTCTCAATGTAGGTTTACAGGCTGGAGCAAGCTAGGCGCTGAGGCAAAAGATGGCTTAATATTCGAAGAACTGCTAGCAAATTTGAAGTAAAGCTTAGGCTATTCGAGCTCTAATTGCCTTCGTTATTATTTATTCGTGAGGCTACGTTCTGATTTGCCGCGAGTCTTTACAATTTAACCATTTTAATTCCGCATTTTATGATGGAAGATAGATAAACGAATTCTTGAGCTTTCAAGTTGTTATGTATCGAGCTGTAGTTTAGTTACGTATGTTGACGTAGTGGGACCCTTCCCTTGTTGAGACACCTAAAAAGATATCTCAATTTTGTTAAGAACAACTTCACCGGACATGCCGGTAACACTTTACCTGGCGTCGCTTTTGAAGGCCAGCCACTTCATAAACTTTCAAATTGAATCGAATTTTTGTTTTTCCTCCAGGTCGTTCACCGAATAAACTAGAGAGTCTCCTAGTTGCGCTTCGTCCAAAGAAATTACCGGATAAAGACCGTAAAAAGCTACCGAACTTCCTCCGCTGATAATGGACCGTCAAAGTAGAAGCCAAAGATAGTATCAGCGTTATGTCGGACGCTTTTAAGTGTGCCATATAGGTGCTATAGAAACATTACTTAGGTCCGTCCTAAATATACGACCATTTAGTCGAGCTTATATTGACCGTATTGGATAAAACTATTGCTACTACTAGCTATTATAGCAAAACGACAACTGTCACAAAATCATTCTCATTAAAAAACACGAAGTTTTTTTATACTGGCCTAAATAAAAATTTCAATTTTCTTTATCATGCTCACTTATGACTACAACTTAAAAGTAAACGATCAATAGCATCGAAATTCACTCAGTATCAATAGGTTCTAAGAGAATTCTAGATGAAGAATTTCATTATAAAACTAACTGTCATAATAAGGTGATCTGGTTAGGAGAATTTTTCAACCCAGCTGCCACCTTTGGGTCTTAATATTGGTACTTAGATTTACATAGACGCTTCCACTACCGTGTGCTGCTTTGTTTTTTGAAACGATCATACCAACGATAACCGTTGTTCAGTATTACGTTTAACTAAGTTGTAGCCATATTCTGTTTTATTTAATGGTAGACCGAGTGATAAATTTTATGTGCACTATTTTTTTCACCGGTACACAGTGTTTTTAAAGCTTGTTGTTTGCCTCTTCCTTATGCCCCAACTTGTAGCTGTTGCAGTAGATCATTCGAAAATCTCTTGATCTGTTACCTATTTTATGTTAACTAGGCTTGTCTATCCTAATTTCACAGCAGCTGCTGCTGCTGCTGCTGCTGTGGCAAAATTGTTTCACTCGCTGACCGCCAGATAAAAGCTCATCAAAAAAAAAAGATATATATATATATATTTCTTTTAAATAGTTTAATTATGCTTGGTTTGTTAACAAGTTGTTGAAATCGCCTCTTCAGTGTAGCGTGGTAATCTTGACACAAGTATCTCGTCTCATTCTCGAGGGTCTCTACGAGCTGAAACATTGATTCTATACTGTGCGTTGCTATTCATTGTAGTTAAGGTAATTTCTGGCCGTTCACCAAAATGTTATTGACTAAAGATTGTTAGCAGGATATGCGTTGACTTTGAAAGAAGGCCATTCAGTTTATAGTATTATCCTGAAACTATCAAACATATAGTTGTTGAGGTTTCTCTACTATGTAAATCACTAAAACACTCTAAAATCTAACAACATCTATGTATGTTCTTCTCGCTAA